GCTACATTATTAAGACCACAATTGGAAGTTGTGGTATTCTCTCTTGTTCTGCTTGCTTCCACTAGTAATCAAAGGAGAGGTAAAAGCAGAAAGAATGAAATCATATCTTATTTATACCCTGCTTATTTCCCAGAGGGGTTTGTGGCAGGCTGCCTGGTTTTCTGGGAGTAACCCCCAGACTGCAGGAGAGCTATAAGACCAAGCTTCCATGGCAATGACCAGAGCTAGCCTCTAATCCTGGCTCTCCCCTAACCAGCTGTATGACTTTAGACAAACTGCCCGTCTTTTTTGAATCTAATTTTCTTTGCACCTAAAATAGCATGAGTAGTTCACTTGCTTACAGAAATGTTATGAAGATGAGCAGTGAAAGTATAGGAGAATCTTCTGAAAAACTGTAAAAGGCTGCAGAAACAGAAGCATCTCTTCCTTTTTATCCCACAGCCCAGAAATAGCACAGAGCCTGGAGTGAGGATCCCAGGATATGGGTTTGGCTTAGCTACTAACTAGCTGTTGACTCTGGGTAAATCATTTCATTCTTCCTGATCTGTACTTTGAGAGAGTTTAACTATAAGTGATAATACAAAAAGGAAACATTTAGACAATGAAGCCCAAGCCTGTGAGCCAGCAGTTAATTGATGGGAGTTACCAGCCTGATTAATTATCTTCCTCTTGGCAGTTGGGTGTTTTCCATAGTACCTGCATTGAAAGGAAACTTGGATCCCCTAGAAATGAGACGAGTGCTGTACCCAGCATTTAGAAGATGAACATGTATTTTTACACCTTCTACACAAAAAAAGAAAGAGAGAAGAGAGAGGACAAGAGAAGAGAGATGTGATGACTGGCATCGTTTCACCTGGACTGAACACCAAGCTCTGCACCTATAACTATGCCTGGCTCCAGAACTGGCAGTTATCTAAGGTAAAAATGAAACTCAGAGATAAAGTGTGAGCCATGATGAGTAAGAGAGACTTCATAGTCACGTTGAGATTGTAGTCATATGTCACCTTGAAAATATCTTTTTCCTGAGTTACTATAAGAACTTGACAATAGTAGTTTATAACTGTAAGTTCATCTACTGTTTTCCAGATTCCTCTTCTATATTAAATTACTTAATTTTCAGAATAATCTTGTGAGATAGCATTAGGCAATTAGGCAGGGCAGGAATAATAGAAGGGGCCCAGGGAGGCAAATGCGTTGCTCTAGGTTGCAGAATATAACACACATTTACTTTGCTAGGGATTTGGTGGTGTGTGTGTGTGTGCGCGCGTGTGCGCACTTGCATGCATGAAACTAGGACAATAGAGATACGTTTTCCTATTCTGGTGATTGCTATCATCATCTACATAGCCAGTAATCTAAGCCAGAATTCTGTGTGTGTTGTCTGTTTTTGTTTTTTCCACTTATTTTACAAATATTTATTGATTGCCTAGTATTGTGGCAGGCGTTGAGTCAGGGGATACAGCGATGAACATGACAGAGAGCCCGGGCTTGAGGCAATCAGGGTGTAGTGGGAGACAAGTCAACGTTTAGAATACTGTGTGTTCTGTAGACGTCTGCAAGAGCGTGTTGCAGTAGAAGTGTGGAGGAAGAGTCTTAAGTCTCGTCTGGAGGGGGTCCTAGAAAGCTTCATGGAAGAGGGTGGCTTTGCAACAGAGACTTGAAGGCGGTGTAGGGATTTGCTCGGTAAATAGGGGCAGGGTGTTAGAGACAGGAGGAGGAGCAGATACAAGCATAGTCACACAGGCACAAGGGAACATCGGGTGTTTAGGGAACATGCAGCTCAGTATTACTGGCAGGTAAGAGAAGGCAGAAACTAGACCATTTTGGACAATTTTGAAGAATTAACTTCCCCCTTTCATTTATTCTCTCATGCCTAATCAATCACCATCTCCTGTAGATTTGTTTCCTTTTCTCCATCTGCTGCTTTGTTAGAGCCTCACCATGTCTGACCTGGACCACTGCTTTTGTCTCCTGACTGGTCTCCCTGTTCCCAGTGTGCATCCTCCCACTCCATCCTCATCCTGTCTCCCCATGTGGTTCTGAAAAAACCCCAAATGTTTAGCCTGGCTTACAGAGCCCACCACCATCTGGTACTTGATTGCATCTCTAGACTTGTTTCTTGATAAACCACCCCCATCCCATTCACATTTCCCCCCTCCATTCCTTAACTAATTTCTTACTTTATTTTGTCCCTCCTTCATTAGTTTCTCAAAATTTCCCTCTATTCATTAGCTAAGTTTTACAACCTCCTTAGCACATCAGGGAAGGCTTCACCTCTGTACCTTTGTTTGAGTTTCTCCCTCTGGTAGTATATCTTTCTCCTTCCCCATCAGTGATCCTCTACTTATCTTTCAAGACTTTCCACACTCAGGGCCAACATTACCAGTTTTGTGAAGTCTTTTGGACACATCTGTCTTTCCTCACTGATTTTTAAGTTCCATCATGGCAGGGACAATATCCCATTCATCTTGATGTCCTCAGCACCCAAATCAGTGCCTGGGTGATCGTGAATACTTAATAAATATTTGTTAAGTGGATTAATAAAGACTTTCTAGCAGTCGTTTAGAATTGAATCACGTACAGTCCTGCATTCTGTTGTTTTCTAGGAACTATCTTTCCAGTACAAAGTGAGGGTAAGTTTTCTGAGTGCAGAGACTTTTCTCTTATTTTTCTTTTACATACTCCCCCCATGCCTAGTTCAGTGCTGAGCAGTGCTTCTGCTGATGAGCCTGTGAGGAATCCCTGCAGAATTCTTCAACCTGACCTTGCAAAATAGTCTTTAAAACATATAAATATTTAACTTGAGAGCTGCACTCCTCCTCTACAGGGAAGGGCAGGCACAGCAAAGGAGGGCCCAAGGCAAAATGAGCCAATCAGGACACCCCTGTCCCTCATTCCCAGCCCCTCCCTTCAGATTCATGGTCTCTTGGAGCTAAGTTTTTCTTTTTGTCTTTCACTGAGGCACCGGAAGGAATCCTACAAACTGGAGTAAGTAAGGGTGTTGAGGGAGGGCAGGAACCTGATTTGTTAAGTATCTTAACTGATCATATTTAGACCAAATTCAAGTAGTTGTGTGCCTGTATAGGAAGGCCCCAATTCATATAACAAAAGTTGTCTGTTTATGTGTGTTTAATCAAAGTATAATTTAAATGGTTGAAGAGATCACAGTTAAACAAAAAACCCCCCACTATTCCATAGGCAAGAAAAATTTCTGCAAAGTAAAGAAATGTCTAAGATGAAACTAAATTATAAATTTGAATGTTTGTCTACTAGGGTTGCTTATAGTGAGGGTCAAGTGTTGGCATATTTTCTTGATTCTATCATTTGGTGCTAAAACTTCTTTTATATGTGATAATTAACATTCATACCGATTACTCTAAATGAAGGCTTCTTTTATTTATCTAATAAGGAGCTCTCTTAGATGCTCCAAAAGCATTTTCTGTACTACATTAAGGTCAGGAGGAAACTGAAAGGCTGTTAATCTTTGTTTTCTCAGCGATGTGTTGGGGTCTGTGGTCTTCCCAGCCCTCTTCTTCCCTTTCTGTTTTCTTCTTACTTAACACAGCTCAGTGGGGCCTCCTGGTGTCTAAAAGGAGTAGTTGGCCTCTGATCCTTCCTTTAGGGGCCCGAGAAATGTCCTTTTTAGTCCAGGACCTGGGGCCCCAGTGATGCATTTCAATTTCCCTCCCTTCATTTCTCTTCTATCTTACTTCCCCTTCCTTAGCTATTCACAATAGGAAGTAGAAGTCTGTATTCTTTGTTGATTATTTTAGAATTTTGTTTCCAATTGTCTCAACTCTCAGTTTGTGAAGAAATCAACTAAATCTCTAAGTATTTTTAGTTTTGGTTTTCCTCTGGGTAACTGGCCCTAAAAATTCTCCCCAGCCCCACATTATAGAACAACTGATCTTTCAGCCTTGGCCCTGAATTTGTTTTTTCAGTTGAGGAGAACAGGTGATGGAGAAAACAAATGGAAGAGAAGCCATTGCTGTGTCCACAGTGGAGACTGGCATAGAGAATCCAGGGCTGGAGCTCACGGTAACTCACCAGTTTAGTTTCTGCACAGCTTTGTGGGCTACTCAATGGCCTCATGTAGGATCTTTGGCTGCTCACAATACCCATCACCCCCGGCAGGGCCTTCTGACTGACTTCAGCTCTACCTGTGCTTACAGGAAGAAGGAGTAAGTTCTGAGGGAACCAGGAGGACCGAAGAGCAAGGACACAGCCTTGGGGATGGTTTGGAGTCTTCCACTCAAAAGAGGTATGGGTGTTCCAGAATTCGTTCAGTTAGGAAGGGCCTAGGTAGGCTAGTGTGGTCAGTGGACTCAGAAGAGTTCAAAGTTGCCCTGTTCTCAGGAGCTTGTGATCTTATTGTGGAGATAAGACTCACAGCCACCTGGTATTACCATATGTATGTATCTATTTTTATGTAATTAATTGTTATATGAACCTGTGCCATAAGTAATGAGTTCAGTGATATCAGCGTTGGTTGGACTGACAACAAAAATAACAATGGGGATAACAATGGCTAACATTTATTGAGTACTTACTATTGTGCAGCATTCTTTATGTAATTAACTCATTTAACTTTCACAACAACAGGTTAGGTACTAATTTTAGACCTTTTCAATTAGAAAATCAAGGCTTGGAAATTAGCCTACCCATAGCATTTTTTTTAAAAAAAAGCTCTTCTGGAATACTCAGATTTGGGGATTAAGAGAAAGAGAAATCAGAACTAAAAAAGACGTAGAGAAAGACCCACCATGAGAGATGATAGAGACAATTAAAAAGTAAAATCTTAGAAGTTAAAAGAGAAGAAAGTGTCAGGAATGAAGTTGCAATCAACCCACAATGTTCTGGGTAACAGGAATCAAGGGAGGAGTGAGGAAAATCTTTGATTTTGGTCATGGATATAGTCCCAGAATTAATGTCTATAGAAGCTGTTTGGGTAAAAGAGATTAAATGGAAGCCGTGCTCCGTGGTGTGGAAAAGGGTATGGGGATTTATTTTAAAAGTGCAGAAGTCATACACTGAGAGGCTTAGAAGAGGATATTGAATGGTTTCTAAAGGGAATATGTGGATATATGTTTTCTTCTGTTTATTTTTAAGAATTAACTCAGTAACTTCATAGCAAAAAAAGCTTAAATATTTAAATTCTGTTATCTTTTCCAGAACTTCACTTCTATATACAAATTGATATATATATCAGTTTGTCTGTATGAATATGGACATTATTATTTTGTATTTTTGTTTTTCCACTTATTTTATATATCACATTTCTATGAATTGACAGTAAGCTTTCTGTAAATGTTTCATGCTTTCATAGTATTTCATACCTTGGTTAGCAGTAGAGTAGGTGATGTGAATTCTAGAGTCAGACTTCTTAGGTCTATATCTGAACTCTGCCCAGTGGTGTGCTGGTAAATGTTTAGGAGTTGACTTTCCAAGAGTAGCTTTGTCATGAATATTGGTTCATATTTTTGCTCACCTGAGTAAGACCCTGGGTTGGCAGACTTTTTTGTAAAGGACTTGATAGTAAATATTTCAGGTTTTATGGGCTATAGGGTCTCTGCCGCAACTGCTCAACTCTACTGTTTGAGTGAGAAAGCAGCTACAGATGATACTACACAAATGGGCGTGGCTGTGTTCTAATAAAACTTTATAAAAACAAAGTGGGATGGACTGGCTCATAGGCCACAGTTTGCCGATTCTTCATCTAGACAAAATAATAAATCAACCTTTGATTTGTATCACTTGCCTGTAGTATAAATACTCTCATTATGGCTGATTTCAAGCTACTGATGGTATGTCACTGAATGAGGAGTTGGGGAGAGTTGTGCAGTGGCACATTATATAAGATTTTTCACCATACACACCCAAGAGAGAACTTCAGAAGCTTAGATAACAGTAAAATGTAGCAAAATAATTAGGAAGTGATGAGTTTTGAGTATTTATTATCCTTGACTCTAATGTAATTTATTTAATTTTATTTAATGAAATTTTCCGTAATGGTTTGCACAATTCCTGATGATGTAGCAATCAGCTCTCCCCAGTTGATATAAGCCGGCTTCCTTGCACTGCTGACTCTGTCACTTACCAGATATTAGGCAAGTTACTTATCCTCTCTGAGCCTCAGTTTTTATCCTGTAAAGCAAGAATAATGTTAGTACTTAGCTGAAAGGACCTTGATATATTTTGTCAGATTGTTGTTGGCACCTTAAACTGTGTAACTCTGATGTATAACTGTGTCCAGTTCCCTCATATCTCACTAACTTTATATTTTCTCACATGAAAAATTGTTACATAGATATAAAATCATGCTTTAAAGTTATAATTTGCATTTCTTTAAATCCTAGTAAAACTACACATTTTCCCCATTTGATTTACCTTATGTATTTCTGTGTGTGATTTTCTTTCCTTCTTTCATCAACTACAGTAGAATCTGAATTTTGAAACTCATTTTATTTCTGCTGAGCTATTCAAATAGCAGCCATATAGATTTCTTGTTTCCAGTGTTCCCCACATGCTGCCAACCTATCTTATGTAGATTCTACTAGAACTACCTAAAGCATGACTCTGAACTCCCTTGTTGAGAAACCTCTATCATTCCCCACTGGCTCCTGAACAGAATCCAGCTCCACAGCCTGCCATTCAAGTCTTTCCCACTCCTCCTGCCCCACAACCATGATTTGTACTTAACTTGATTTTCCAACATTAACTCTTAAAATTTCCTTTCCAATGCTCCCCTATGCTCTATTTACAGTCAATCATCAATTGCCCCTTTCATTTCCTGCCTCTGTGTCATGCTTTCCATCAATCCTGAGTGAAATGTCTTTTCATGTTAGGTCTTTCTGCCCGCATGCAACATATCTTTTAAGGCCCAACTCAAGAGCATGTTCATGATATCATCATGAATGGTGGTCCTCCTCAGCCTTGCTGGCCCCATTCCAAAGAGGCCCCTTCTCCCTCAAAACTTCCATAACATTCTATTTGATCCTCTCTCATAGCACTTAAAGCTTTTGACACTGTGTTACAGGCTTATACGTACATTGCAGGATTCCTGTCTATTCCATCCTTTTATCTCCTACAGCACCTGATAGAATGCTCTACCCATAGTATACATGCAAGAATTCCATAATATGCAGAATTCAGTAGATATACTTTTGGAGTAGAATCAACATGATTTGGTGATTAAGGCCAGCCATTCTCAGGAAACACACTCAGACCCCTGTCTTTATCTTATCTTCTCTTCTCTTACTTCTGATCTTCTGTTCCTTGGGATATCCTTAATCTGATCTTCAGTGCAAATTGATTTTAGCTTCTCTTTCTTTTCATTACTTTCTGAACTTAGCCATTTCTATAGAGCAATTCAGCAAAACACAAACATTTTAGTGAGGATTCTTTCTGTTGTTAGAATTTTAAAAGTTTGGTAGTGGTGAGGGGTGTTTGTTATTAAGAAGTAGTGAACTTGAGCACATTTGATGGTTGAAAGAAGGAGCCAGGAGAGTCAGAGAAAGAGAAGGAATGGATGATGGAAGGGGATAGAGATAGTGAGATAAATAATTGTCAGATAAGGCCTTAGGAGTTGTCAGGAAGTGGAATTGAGATCAAGAGTTGGAGGATTTGCCTTGGTAGTGGGAAGGCCAGTTTTTCCTAAAATGTTAGGAAGGAGGCAGGAAAGCTGTTGGATCAGAGGCATGCTAAAAGGTCTAGGGCCAGAGAGGTTGAATTTCTATAAAATAGAGAATATACTTGCTGAAAGGAAACTAGGCTTCTTGAGAGCATATCTCTTCCCCTCATCCCCACAGACCTTCAGCTCTATGTCCCCCACCCTTAGTGGTAGAGGTGAGTGATGCTAGGGTCCTGGGGCTGGCTTAGCAGGGAAGCATCTTGTCCTAAGTTCAAGTCTGGCTGGGGAAGGGGCAGCAGACCTGAGAAGGGGCTCTTCTGCCCCGGAGGAGAAGAGTCGTGCACTTTTTCCCAGTTTGTCTTCTAAATACGATTTCTTCTGGTTCTTGACTCCAGAAATGAAGAGTTGGGTCATATTGAAATTTACATTTACATGAATGGTTTTTTTATTCAAGCTAATTACTGAGAAAAAGGATAACGATCATGTACAAGATCAATGTTGCCTTAAACCTTGCTGAATTTCAGCGATACTTTCTGTTCAGATAGGCCTAGACTTGTAGAGCCCAGTTAAGTCATCATAACTTATAACAATTAAGTGGAACTTTGGCCCCAAACTGGACTGCCTGAACCTTCTTCAGTGGTTGACACTTCACCTCATTATTGGTGGACTCACCAGTGTATTTCCCTTTAGTAGTTGCTTTAAGAAAAATTTCTTTTCTCAAATTCTCAATCCCACTTTTTCTACCCATTCCAATTTCCACTGATAATTGGTATATAGTCCAATATTGTTCCTTTCTAAGAAGGGTAAGTATTTTGTGACTAACACCCTCATTCATCATGGCAAAATCACTTATAATATTATCTTAGAATTTGCTTTGTCTTTGTCCTCTTTTTTTCTCCCTTTCTCTCAGAAAAATAACAGTCTTCCTCATGCTTTTTTAAGCCAGTCTGCCAGTCTCTGCTTTTTAATTGAGGTATTTAGGCCATTTGCATTTAGTGATTTAAATCTACCATCTTGCTATTTATTTGTTTCTATTTGTCTCCACTGTCCTTTTTTTCTCCAACATATCAAATTTATTTCTCCCACTGTTAATTAATTTTCCTAGTCATCCATTAAGAATAGGTTGTCTTTTCAGTGGTTACTAAATATTACATTTCTCTCATCAATTATAGTTACCCCATGCTTCTAATTTTATGAAAATTTTCTTAACAATATAATTAGGATTTGGGACACATTTATTATTTCATTTGTCACTCTTGGTTCCACAAAGCAAAACCAGAGAAAATAAAATGTGAAGGCCCAATTTACAATCAGTAAGAATTTAGCTCAACTGTTTACCCAGATTCTTCCTCTAATCTCTGGATTGCAAGTAAACATAATTTTAAAATTTGAAATATATTTAACATATAACATTGTGCAAGTTTAAGATGTACACATGGCAGTATAGCTTGAAATCAGGAAGTGTGATACCTCCAGCTTTGTTCTTTTTCTTCAGGATTTCTTCGGCTATTTACAGTCTTTCGTGGTTTCATATAAATTTTAGGATTGTTTTTACTATTTCCGTGGAGAATGCCATTGGTATTTTGATGGGGATTGCATTGAATCTTAGATGGCTTTGGGTTGTATGGACA